CAAATATCTCCCTTCCGCCTTTTTGTATTATAAACCAAGAGCAAAAAAGCGGAAGGGAGATATTTGACAACTTAATATTTTAAAAGTCAAACAATGATAAGCGGTTTTTTGTAATTTTTTCCATTTATTTCTATGATCTAACTATATTTATATAAATCAAAACATTCTAGAAAATTTCCCGGACAAACTTCAGGAAGATTCATGAAAATCCGAATTATAGTTTAGGAGGATTAATGAAACTTACATTGTTACAGAAGAATTTTTTATATATATATATATATATATATATATATAAATATATATATACATTTGTACTGTAACTATAATTGTACATATCGCACAACTCCTCCCCCACCCCCCATCTCGGCTCATAATCAAGAATTCTCGCATGACACGACCCCGACCGCTCAGCCTGTCATAAACCTCAAAATCATCATCCCTCGCCCTCTCGTGTTTCCGCGTCACGTTCGCCGTTCGCCGTTCGCCGTCCGCCCTTTTGTCAGATCGCCAACGCGCCATAGTAGTCCGCCGTCGGGTGACAAAACAAGCGCGCCCGATATCTTTACTGCGGAGGACGAGCGGATACGACAACCGACACCCAACTAGTGTTAGAAGTATCGAGGCAAAAGATCGATATTGAGTACTTTAAAAAGTATCTAATCAAAATATCGATGCCAAAAAATATCGTGGCGAAAGTATCGATAGTACTCAATATCGAATTTTGAGTACTTTTCATCAAAATCAAACATAAGTGCAAGAAAGATCTAGAACTCATTAAATATCATATCTCAATAATATTAGAATGAATTCTATTGCTTGTAGCTGATGTGTTAAATCAGAATCATTTTCAATATTGTAAAATGTTAACAGTAATTTTTCAATACTACTTTCAAATTCTATAACTTTTCAAAAAAAAAGACAAATTATAATAGTTGAGTATTTTTGATTAAAACAATATAATAGTCTGATACTATATTCAAAAAGCAATACTTTTTAAGTATTTTTAAGTACAATAATATTGTTAATATTTTTAAGTAAAATAATATTTTATAATTGTTTAATATTTTTATATAAATAACTTTAGCGAGCATGCAACTTTAAAAAGCCGTTACATGTTTACATAAAATTGCAATATGAAACTCTTTAATAACTCTTTTTAATAAACATTCAGTTTAATGACGGTCAAGATAATATTTCAAAATTTGTAGAGAAATATCTCTTCGGAGCGATGGGATTTAAAGTTTAAATGGTTCCGAGAAACTCAAACCCATATGTTTGCATGTTGATATTCAAAAATTTCAATACATGAGTATTTTGCGTAAAAAAAGAATCGAAATATAATTATTTAAAATAATAATACTCAAACATTTCAATATATTAGTATTTTAGGTAAAAAAGAATCGAAATATAATTATTTCAAATAATAATACTCATCCATTTCAGTATATTAGTATTTTGCGTAAAAAAGAATCGAAATATAATTATTTCAAATAATAATACTCATCCATTTCAGTATATTAGTATTTTGCGTAAAAAAGAATCGAAATATAATTATTTCGAATAATAATACTCATCCATTTCAGTATACACCCAGGCCTCGCTATACGGCCGCTCTTTATACGGCCTTTCGCTATAACGGCCCTCTTTAATTAAGGAACGTTTTCGATATACGGCCTAAAATGTTTTGCTATAACGGCTTTTTTAACTTCGCGTAGGGCAAGTTACAGTAATCGCAAAAAAAATCGAAAATGAAAATTTTTATATATCTTACGTTTCAAAGTTTCAAACGTTTTGGAAAAACTATAATATCAAGGATGATGTTGAGAACATTAGTGAATCCTGGAAGAAATTGAAATGAACAACAATGAACCATGTTTTGAAAAAAAAATATGGCCAGAATGTATAAAAACTACCGATGCAGAAGTTAATTTCCTTCCTGAAGTTAGACAAAACATTTTGGATTTAGCACATCATCTCGGTTTTGAAGATTTAAACGAATCTGATGTGCTGGATCTACTTGCAGCTGATAGGGAACACCTTTCATATTAGGAACTCATTAGTTGCAAGCAGAGCCGGCATATGATGAAGATACAGAACCTGTTGTATCCAAACAGCTAACATCAAAAATCATGTCAAGCGCTTTTTCATATTTTGAACAAGGAATAAACATCCTCCTTGAAAACGATCATGATGTCGAACGTAGCGCTAATGTCTCTCGAGGAATTAACTCAGACATTAGCTGTTATAAATCACTAAAGGAAGAAATAGACAAGAAGGCAAGACAAACAACTTTAGACAAATTTTTTAAACCACCAGCGCAAAATGATGATGACAGTGATCTGTAGGTTTTAGTTGTTTCATTTTTATTTAAAAATTATGGAATGTTTTTGAAGTTTTTTTATTTTATGTAAAAAATATGTTCTTGTTAAATATGTTTTAAATTTAAACAAAATAAAAAAATAAAATGCATTTTGAATGATAAACCATATTATATATTTATTAAATTTGGAACCGATCCCATTGAATTTGTATGAATACGTATTAGAATAATTAATTCGTTATACGGCTTTTCGCTTTACGGCCAAGTTTTGCGGAACGTATCTAGGCCGTAAAGCGAGGCCCCAGTGTATTAGTATTTTGCGTAAAAAAGAATCGAAATATAATAAACGCAAAATAGTAATATATTGAAATTGATGAATATTATTATTTGAAATAATTATATTTCGATTCTTTTTTAAATAAAATACTAATATATTGAAATTGGTGCGTATTATTATTTGATAAAACATAGAAATGCAATAATTTATATTATTTTATAAAACATTTAAGGTACTTTAAAAAGCCATTTCATTTTACATAAGAGTAATAAATAAGCATCTTTAGTTATTAGTGTGGTCATATTCATTTTGGGTTTTTGAGCAATAAATTCTGAGACTAATGACCCTTCGGGATCATTTTTTGACACTTCTTTGAACAATTATGACCACCTAGAGAGACTATTGCTTTGCATTTGGCAATGAGTAGTGTTAATAAGTGATCGATGAGTGGTGTTCATAGATTACGCTGTCGATTCTTTTCGAGTACTATCGACGAAAAGAATCGATATTGGCAAATAGATCGAGCTAAAAAAATCGATAGCAAAAGTACTCACTATCGACCGCAAAGTATCGATATTTACTCAGTACTCGATATTTCGTTCTAACACTACACCCAACGGCGTGTGCGGTTTATGACCCGCGGCGACGGCGAACGAGAGGAAAGGGCGGTGGTGGTGGTGGGTTGAGGAAACGTTTGTCTCGCAATCGGCGAAGAGATTCGAGAGAAATCTGTGATGATCTCAGCAGAAAGACGGGATGTCGATTCCGGCGGAATATTTGTAAGCGTGCGGTGGCGGTGGTTTATTGATATGTTAGAGAGAGCGATGGGTGAGGGACGGATTGATTTGTAGTTTTGTTGGTGAGATATAGATTATTTTTTTCACTAGTAAGTTCAAGCCAAATTTTAACAATAGTTACTAACACCTACTCTGACAAAATGTTACTCCTTAACAGAAGTCGAAATACCAAAAATCCAAGGAATTATAACAGCTACATCGAGGTTATATATGAAGAACTCCGGCAATGCGAATAGAAAAAATGTAAGAAATTAAAAAACGCACGACATATAAGCATGTAAGCAAATTTTCCAAATATACAAAGCTTTCTACAACCAAAAATAAGGGATAAGAAATGAAAAGTTTTTCTTTAGCACCACATATCTTGCCTCAGAGCAAAACATTACATTTTTTAACTTCCCTTAGGGTAAGTTATAGTAATCGCAAAAAAATTGAAAATGAAAATATTTATATATCTTTACGTTTCAGAGATTTCTGAAAATTTTGGCATACCTTAGAAAAAATGGATGTATGTGTGTGTGTGCGTGTATGTGTGTGCGGATACAAATTTTCGTCGACGATTTCGGGAACACGGATGAAGCGATTTGAATAATTCAAAAAACATTCGATTCGTTTTGATTAGGAGACGTGCTGATTAGTTTTTGGCAAAGGCAGGTCTAGCCTTTCCGAAGATATGGGGCAAAAAATGCCAAAAACGGTAACTCAATTAATTTTTAAGAGAACGGAGCTTTCGATTTGAATAATTTAAAAAACATTTTACTTGTATTAACAAGATGAAAAACTGAACAAATTTTCATAAAGGCAGGTCTAGCGGTTTCGGAAATCTAGTGAAAAAAGTAAAAAAATATGCCATCTGGCGGTCAAAAATGATCATTAGACATATGTACATCAAATTATCAGATATTTTATAGACATTTTAACAATAAGTATAAATTTTGTTTACATTCCTATGGGTTCCGTACCAATGCTTATCTGTTAGACGGCGACGCGGCGCTTACGAGCTTCGATATTTCGTCTCTATGCAATTAAAGCAGTACGATTGCTTTGAAAAAAGTTTAGAATTTCCAAAATATTTCAAAATACACTTTTCTTCAAAAAGTCTTTTTTTTTAAAAAAAGTAAATTTTTGTCAAAAATTTATAGTTTCTCAAAAATCTAATTTTTCAGAGTATTTTTTTTTCAAAAATGTTAATCTTTATAAAAAAAAATTTGGTACAAAAAGTTTCAGCACTTTGCCTTAAGGCACGATGCCATGTGCCCCACTAGTTGAAAAAAACATGTGCATAATTGACCTGCATTACCTCATATTCAACATTAGCTCAACATGAATGTATTCCATGGTTTCGTGTACTCGATACAAAACCCAAAAAAAAATTTATAAAAGATATGACACGAATCTGCTTCGTGGCCTTTTTAAAAAACAAACATTAAAGTCCAAGTAAGTCTCGAACGTTACCAGAATTGTTTTTATCCGTATATGCAAAAAAGTTGTTGTTAACCGAATGTATAAATATAGTATATGTGTGTGTGTATATTTCTGTATATATGTATACTACCTTACTTTGCACATGGCTATAAAGTGAGTGTAATAAATTTCGAATGCTTACGTGCAGTCTGCGGTCACGCCGAACATAAACGCCTCCGCGCTCTCTGTACTGCCACAACGCCACTAGGCACGGACACGAAACGTCCGTATCTCTCTATAAAGCACACACACCAGGCCCTGGTGACCAGGGTCTCGTGTTATATATAAATATATATTGTTGAGAATTGTGTTCTTTATAATTATAAATATTAGTCATAAGTAAGTTTATCTGAACGATATGTATAATCCCAAGTAACGGTAAATGTTGCGAATATCTTGTACATCAGCAAGACAACCCTTAATAAAAGTTTATGATAGCTCATGTACCCTCGGCGAGCTACCATAAAACTAGAAATTTTGGAAATATCTTTAAAAATGTAAAAAAATAAAGTTAGTTAGTCCTGAACTGCTGAAGAAGTAACAACTAAAATATTATAATAAAACGCTATATAAATTTTTGTATCTAAATGAATTCTTTGATTTCACACACTTCCAAAAGAGCTACAAATGTTCCAATACTCATCGTTAAGTATTCCAAATAAAACTTTAATCTACTCAAGAAGTTATTAAAAATTGGTTACGTTTAATCATTAATTAGTAAAATCATTACTAACGTCTCTTCAATATACAATATTTTAGAACAAAATACTGTACAAAATTTAGAACCTGATTTGGTATATTAAAGATTAATTGGAATCGGGAACAGCACCAAGTAAAAAAAACTGGAGTAGAGTAAAAATTGAAACTTTATTGATCTATACGATTCTGGTCCGTCATTCAAGTAGAATAAAATATAGATTTCCATTGACACCTAAAAGTTATCTCAAAACCTATATATGCTGCGCACACCCTACCCTATGTAGGTTTTGAGACAACTTTTAGGTGTCAATATACAACTATTTACAGACTTACAGCTGGGTATCTCGAATTCCTACCTAATCGAGATTCTTACCTAATTTAAGCTTAAATGACTGGACTATACATAGCTTGCAACGCTCTCATAAGTACATAATGTTAAAATTAATCAAATGTGTCAATTATTTTCTATTATTCGCTAAATATCCATAACAGAGTATGCAAGAATATGAAAAATTTGTATTCTGTAAATTCTTTCAAGAATTGTTTATGAAGAAAATACAAAAATGTTGCTAAATCAGACAATTAGAAAAATAATTAAATAAAAGGGAAGATGCGTTGAATTGATTGATTGGTGCATTAGCTAAAATGCAAACTTCATTTAATTTTTATGAAAAAAATCACTTTTCATAGGCCTCTAATATTTTACCCTGGTCAGTTTGGACATATAATCTACCATTATCCCAAGTTTTGTCAAAATCCCGGACGAGCCATGTGCGGGTTCTCTCTCCTCTATATATTTTGGAAATATTTGCCAATTAATATTAATATATTTGATATTTCATCTATTTTGTTTGTACTTAATGTAATATAACTTAAGTGCGCAAATATTTTCTTTTTAATTCAAAAATTTAGTTTTTCATACATTTTAAGTTTATGTAACATTATTTATAAAATACCTTCGTATTAGCTTTTCGGTCAACTTTGTCAAGCAGTATATGCAAAAAAGTAATGACAATTAATGCAAACCTATTTTTTATTCCATTCCATTGCTCCTAATAAATAAGTTGCTAAGTGGTATTTTGGTCAAAATGAGTTAAAAGATGGAATTTTCTTTCCTTTGATAAGAGTAATTGCATTGACCGATCATGGGTAGAAAATGAACAATATTTAAGTAGATTTGATAAAAATTCAACGATTTGTTTAAAAAAAATCCACAAATTTACAAAGCTGTTCATACTTTATAATCCATGTCCAGTAAAGTGACTAAAATACTTATTCATTGGGAGTGATATAATTATAATAATTAACATCTTTCACATAGTCTCAGACCTAAGTATTTTGATATTATGTACAAGGTTACCTTTTAAAAATTTATGTTAGATAATTAGATTTTAAGAAAATTAAATTATTCTTGAATTGATTTTGAATTGTGTTTGTGATTTTTAACTGGGGTCAATCAAAAACATCTCAAAGTATGAAATAAAGACCCTTTAGTTCAAATATATATAATGTGTGTGTATAGGTATGTGTGTCAGTGTTGGCCGTATAGGTTCCGGATAAGGTGATCAAAAGGGTATTTTATAGGTGGCATGCCACGGCGGCTGCCTCGATTCTCATGCTCTTCGTTTTTCAACAAAACAACTTCGAACTAATAAGGACGAATTCACACGTTCTGTACATCGGCTGAAACTACACTAACGCGATTAAAAAAATCTACCGAAAGTTTAAGATAAATTTGTCAATCCAAACCAGATTCATCTAATTATTGATTTAAATGTTGCTTAGAAAATCAACTGATTTAAGAACAAACTTAATTGATACTTGGTTAAAAAAAAGATTCTGTGAGATATCTGGTTCAAAGTCAATCAAAATCTAATCCACTTGGAGGCGAAGCATGAAATTGACAATAATTGTTCACAAAATGAAATTGGACTAGCTGTTAAAAAAGGAGAGTAATATATTTCCACGCAAAATCCTGAACATACTAAAATATCATAAACCTACCGAGAATAAAAATTTATTGAAATTTGGAATATTGAATTGCTCTTTTAAGATATACAAGCGAAAATCACATGGGTGAGTTTTTTTAAAAAAAAAAGTGAAAATCTCGAGCAAAACAAAACACACATGACGACATACAAAACACACACACATACATCCATTTTTTCTAAGGTATGCCAAAATGCTCAGAAATTTTCATTTTCGATTTTTGGACGATTACTATAACTTACCCTACGGGAAATTAGTTAAAAAAACAAACATCTTGCATTTGATTCAGTTCAATTAAAAAATGTCAACTAGTGGGGCGCATGGCATCGTGCCTTAAGGCAAATTGCCGAAACTTCCCGTACCAAAAATTATTATTTCTTTGAAAACGATTAACATTTTTGAAAAAATTTTACTTAAAAAAAAGATTTGTGAGAAACTACAAATTTGACAAAAAATTACTGTTTTTTGAAAATTACTTTTGTTTTCTTTATTTTGACATATTTTGGAAATTCTGAACTTTTTTCAAAGCAATCGTACTGCTTTAACTGCGTAGAGACGAAATGTTAAAGCGCGTAAGCGCCGCGTTGCCGTCTAACGGATAAACATTGGTACGGAACCCATAGGAATGTAAACAAAATTTATATTTATTGTTAAAATCTCTATAAAATAACTGATAATTTGATGTGCATATGTCTAATGATCATTTTTGATAGCCAAATGGCATTTTTTTTACTTTTTTCATTAGATCTCTGAAACCGCTAGACCTGCCTTCATGAAAATTTGATCAGTTCTTCATCTTGTCAATACAAGTAAAATGTTTTTTGAATTATTAAAATCGGACGCTCCGTTCTCTTAAAAACTGAGTTATCATTTTTGGCACTCTTTGCAACGTATCTTCAAAACGGCTAGACCTGCCTTCACCAAAAACTAATCACCACGTCTCCTTATCAATACGCATCGAATGTTTTTTGAATTATTCAAATCGGTTGATCGGTGTTCGCGAAATCGTCGACGAAAATTTGTATCCGCACACACACATACACGCACACACACACATACACGCACACACACACATACACGCACACACACACATACACGCACACACACACATACACGCACATACACACACATACATACACACACATACACACACACATACAACCATTTTGTCTAAGGTAAGGTATGCCAAAATGTTCAGAATGTTTTGAAACGTAAAGTTATATAAAAATTTTCATTTTCGATTTTTTTGCGATTACTATAACTTACCCTACGGGAAGTTAATAAACAGCTCGACAACATTAATTATTCTGATCCTATTGAACAAACGTCACAAACAACCTCGTGCATTATACAAGCAGCACTCAAACATCACCGTTTACCATACTAATTATCTCCTAAAAGAATGTTTCCAGCCGCTATCGTTTAAAAGTGATCCCCCGTGCCGCCGTGCCGCCGTCGCCTGAGGCCGCAACGAGTATAGTAGCGGCAGCCAGGCACGGCAAAGCAAGGAAACGTGTTGTGCACATCGCACTTTGCTCGACTCTCTGCCCCCAGGAGACCCGTCGCTTTAACCCATCCCAACCCATCCCATCCCATCCTAACCCATTCCACTCGTCCGTGTGTCGGGTTCGAGCGAAACGCACGCGGCGCGAATCGTGCGTCTCTTGACGAGGCGGCTGCTGCTGCGTAGGAATAATAAATAGTACAAAGCAAAAGCAAAAGCAAACACTAGCACAGCAGGCGAGGATATGATGGAATGGGTTTGCCATCTAATAGGCAATCAGGCGATTTATGACAAACTCGTGGAAGTATCGTATGTGTGAAAGTTTATAGAAGATGTTAAAATCAGGAGTAGAAGCTTAACAAGAATGATGTTGAATCAAATTAAAGACAGAAGAATTAAAAA